GAAGTTACCCTATCAGCGCATGCGCAATTTACACTACCAGCGCACTTCGGTAAGATCAAACAAAGCCACATGGAGTTAGTTTTTCTCTTTCTATTGCTCTTGTTTATCTGTCTTTCTCTTATTTTGTCTTTGCTTATACTTTTTTTGCTTTGTATTTTGTGAAATGCATAGAAAAAGTTCTAAAATGTACGCGAATTTGCAAGTTTTTGAGTTGTTATTATTTTCCGCCCTCAGGCTGATGTAAGTAACCGGAAGTGAAATTTCACCTCCCTAGCAACACACGCAAGTGCATGCATGAATCAGTTAATGGGCCCTTAATTTATGTACAAGTATTCACAGTCATTTTCATGCATCAATGATGTTGTTATTAAAAATCATATATCAAAATACTTACTGGAGAAAAATCCACAATTTTAACGATATGTTTATGTGGTAAACTCCTCACTTCATCTCCTGTAAGGGCATCCCAAACTTTCCTACAGTTAGAAAAGAATCATTAATTTCCATCTGTTAGATACAGGGTCAACCAAGCAGCCAACTGACCAACTAGTACGCAACTGATTGATGGATACATTCAGAAATGACAACTTGCTTGATTGAATGACCAGCTCATTAGATATGACTCACACCTTGGTTTAAATGTAAAAATACAGTTTGATCCACCTAATTCCAACTCAGTTATTTCAAATTCCCCATTATTTTGAATTCAAAACCATTTTTGTTGGATTTGCCCTTCAGTCATTTACTCTCGGCTATTTCAAATCCCAACTATTTCAAACTATTTTTTGTTTCCTCTGAGAGTTCACAGTTCCTGAGAGTTCAGTAATAATAATAATAATAATAGTAATTTATTAATTTATACTGCGCTTTTTTTTTTCGACTGTACAAATATTTGTTTAACAAATGTGTTCTCTAACAATTATTTCAATTTAGCCAACTGTTATAATTATTAAGTAAATTTTGCCTTGTCTTGTATGAATACCAGTGTAACAAGAAATGATGATAGCGGTGGTGGTGGTGATGATAATGATGTTGACATGAAGGACGAGCCATAACAATAAAAGTAATTCACATAAAATTGATAAAATGCAATTCCCCATTCTCTCCACACATGTCCACATACGCTGTAAAGTCTGCAGCTCCAGTGGCAGCCTTTGCAGCATCTCCAGTCAACGTTGCACTCCACACTGCTCCTTTGTGCCCCTCAAATGTACCAATCCAGTCTCCTGTATCACCTTGTCGTAACATAGGTTTGCCATCTAGAGAAACCATACATAACTCAGTTGAATGATTACAATATCAGCAAATAATTATGATATTTACAATCATGTCTATTTGATCTTTTCATCCAAGTCATTTAACCATAAACATCCCAATATGTATTAAGACACCATTGGTCATTTGTGTGTCATACATATCTACATAATTTACCAGTCAATTCAAAACTCCTACCTGTGCACCCCCTGCTCCCCTGGTATTACACATCTTGAATTTTCAGTGGTTCAAATTCCCAACCACTAGGAAAGTACACCACCTTAAGGTCATACTAAGTGATCAAATGCCCCTTAACTCGAAGGATACACAAGCAAAAACCAAAAAGGCTTACATTTACCTTCAAACACAACACAATGTTTGCCAAGGCCTTCTTCGGAGAGTCACAACATTGTTGTCGTTTGATGTTTTCTAGCTTAACATATTACAAAGTAATTTTTTCAAATCCCCCTCTACCCCTCCTGTATGATGTCAAATGCCCCACCACAGTATCAACACAGACACAGCTGGGTATGCCCACAGGTAAGGGTGGAAAATTTAATGTTTTCATTTGATCAATACTATAAATATTTTTATAAATATTTTGATCAATATTATAAATATTTTTAGGAATTCTAATTTAACTTGTAATCATATTTTAGAATTTTATACGTTTTTGTAAT